GAGCAATGAGGCAATTTTACCATCATTCATTCAATATATATATCACCAGTTACTTCATATCTTTCTTATATCTCCTTTATTTTTTTAACTATCACAGTACCTACTCTAACCATATCATGACCAATACATGAGAAAGATAGGATATGTTAATTACATTTTTTCTAGTACATATTAAAACATTTATTACTTGGATACCCATTTACTATTTTCAAATTATGTCCTGTATCATATAAGGCACTTTAAGAAAAACTGAATTAATGAAACTGCAGTTCAATGTACCCCTTCTCCTGCTTTCATAAGAAGCAACAAGGACTACAAATTCTTATTTTAGAGGTCATTAAGTCTTTAGTAAAATTGTTATGCTTTATAATAATTCAAAAATCCATATAGATTTAAAAATACTTGAACTTTTGGCAAACATATATATTTTTTTAGTGTTTTTCAGGAGAAAGGATCCAGGCATTTGCTCTGAATCTGCATCTACTACCATAAGGTACCATTATTTTTGATCCATTTTGATTTTAAATTCATTGGGTTTTTTTAAATATCTTTATTTTTTATGTGGTGCTGAGGATGGAACTCAGTGCCTCACACTTGCAAGGCAAGCGTTCTACCACTGAGCTACAGCCTCAGCCCCAAACTTATTGGGTTTTACTTTTTTAAAAACCTAAGGGAAAAACAAGAATACAAACTGGTTTTTAATTTTACTTTTAGTTTTTTGACAGCACAGGGGTACTCAACCACTGAGCTACTTCACCAGCTCTTTTTGTTTTGAGATAGTCTCCCTGTGTTGCTCAGGCTAGCCCCAAACTTGCCGTCCTCCTGCCTCAGCCTCCAGAGTAGCTGGAATTGTAGGTGTGTGCCAACGCACTCCAAAATCGCCTCTTTTTTTAAGCCAAATTAAGGTCGGACTGCCACTGCAGAAAAATGCAAGTAAAAACAAAGACTCAAAACTTTCTCTCAAAAAAGAAGAAAAAAAGGCACACACAACACAGAAAAAAAAAAGGAGAAAACAACTCGGTGACTCCACTCCCGGGCCCCGCCCTCCTCCCGGGCCCCGCCCTCCTCCTAGTCGGCCGCGCGGCGGAGCCGCCAGGGGTCGCTGTGCGCCGTGCGGAAGAGGGTCAATCGCCTCCCGGAACTTTCCCCTTCGCTGCTCCGCCCCCTGTGCTTGTTGGCGCCAAAAACAAACCTGCCCTCCCCTGACGCGCCCCGCCCCTCAGCCCGCGTGCCGGCCCTGCTACCGCACCATGGTAAGAGCTGAGGCCACTGTTCCGGATCGCCTTTCTCCTCAGTGTCTGGGCTTCGGAGCCCGGGAAGACGCGGGATCCTCCTACCCAGACGGAGGCGCCCGTCAGGTCGACGCCGCGGCCCCCGCGCGCTCCCCGGCGGGCACCCGCCTGTGCCGGGGCGGGGCGGCCGGGTTGGGTAGAACGCTGGCGGCCTTGGCGAACGTGACCCGAGAATCCCGTCTACTCGGGGGTTTGTCCTACAGGCCGAGAGGCGCCACGGAATCGGTGGCCTGGACGCCTCCGGCTTCGGCCTGAACCGCGAAGGAAAGTGCGGGCGGGCGCGGTGGCGCCAGCGCCACGGGTCCCAAAGGCGCGCTCCCGCGTGCTCCCGAGGGCGCGGTGGCTGTGTGGCCCGGTGCCGCGCACACTCCCGATCTGCTTGAGATCCCAAAAGTACCCAGCGGGTCTTCCCTTCACCCCGGTTCACTCGTGAAAATCCCCCGGGTCTTAGCAAACGGCAGGGATCACGCTCTGTGCGTGGCCGCTGCGGGCCCGGGCGGGTGTCGCCTGTCAGTGCGGATCCGCGCCCGGGTCGTTGGGTTTCCCCTGTGAGCCGGGAGGGTTACCCGCCAGGAAGGTTCCAAACCAGCTTTCCCTGTGAGCTTCGAGTCCTCATTTTCATAAACCTTCAAAGTTTCGTGCGATTTTTTTTTTTTTCTGCTTGTGTTGGCAGAGAATTAACGTCTAATCAGATGAATCTTAAGATTTTAATATCTTAATTTAGTTAAGTGGCCGTTATTTTGCCGCACCAATGATGGACAAGGATCGAGTTGTAGGGTATTTGAAGATACTTGCCCAGCTGTAATTAAGTGATAACGGCTTCTTTGTGGTTTAACTAACAACCCAGGCACCTGGGCATAAAATGGACCCAGAAGCCACAGGAGCAGACTTAAAAGAAATCTGTGAACAGTGCTTTGTGTTATCACATTTCTCTTTGTAGAGTTGCTGGTCTAGTATAACCCACTACCGACCCCTGTGCAGCACAGACGCATCAACTTTGCCTTAATCTCTCTATCCATTATAAGTCACCTTCTAATATAAATAATTTAATGTGCTGTTAATTCTTTTCAGATGCTTACTTCTGATCATGGAAAACCATGAAACAGAACTTTTTATAAATAGGTACTTGCTATTTTTTTTAAAAATATATGATAAATAATTTGGTGTTATCTTGGTCAAAGATAAATTTTTGCCCTCTTTCCCCATTGTGAATTAATAACTCTTCCAATCTGGTTGAGTTTATTGAGTAAACAATTACAAGGCTGGGTACATTTTTTAAATTGGAGAAGTACAGCTCTGAGGAAAGCAGATAGCACCTATTTTTAAGTTGTTAAGAGATTTTTGCTAATTGATCAACAGGGTCCATTTCAGGAATTCTGTAAATCCTAATTTGAGAAGGCTACTGGGACACAGGTTTTTTTTAAGTGGTTTACAATATTTTGGTCAACTAGAAAGCAGCATAGTCCTCAGGCCAAGTTTTGAATCTCCTTCTTACTAATTTGAATGCATCTTTAAATTACACATCACTAGATTTTTTCCTAGTCCAAGTATTAAATGAGTCCTAATTGGAGGGAGAGGTTTCCTAACACAGGCATTAATATGGCATCCTTTTATAAAAGTCATTTTAATTCTGACCATGCTAACTCTCCTATTGCGTTAATAACAAAAATTATTTCGAGTCATAAAAGAGATTGATTCTGCCTGAAAACAATGGAAATGTATATACAGTTCATCCACTTTTCTTGAATAACTTATAGCTGTAGAGAACTTTTCTAAAACCATGTCCCAGGACATTCAGTTCTTACTGCCTGAGGGTGTGTGTGTGCCTGGGTTGTGTGTGTATATACACACACACAAGTGTACAAAGTGTACACACAGGTCCACAAGTGTACAAAGGCTTTCCAGGAGCTGTTTATAATGCCAAACTGCTAGGGACCCTTCCTATAACTTTGAGATCTGTTTTCTGCTCATGCACCCACAGACTAAAGTCCTAAAGAGATTTTTCTTGCTCCAACATAGCCTCTGATGTCCTTTAGATTTTGGGATAAGAAAAATAAGGTTCCCAAATCTGGGCACAGTTAAAATACCTAGAGAGAGCTTTTTAAATATGCATACCTGGGGCCCATCTCAAAGAGTGATTCAGTTCATACGGGATGTGCCTGTGCATCAGTATTTTTTTTGTGGTACTAGAGATTAAACCCAGGGCTTGGCATTTGGCTAGGCAAGTGCTACATCCCCAGCCCTGGGCATCAGTATTTTGAAAGCTGAGATGATCCCAATGTCTGGCAGTTTGAGACCCACTGGAAGGAACCAAGAAGTGAGCTGAAGAGCCTTCTAACTGGGTGTGAATTTCATGCTTGATTGATTCAGATACTGCAGGAAGCCAGTGTGAAGTGAGACATATAAAAAATCTTGGACTCCAGCTCCTCAGCCCTGCGTTTAGTGAACAGATTTATCTGGTTTCCTGGAGCTTGCCTACCTGAGATTTGTAGGATTTCTCTTTGCAAGCAAGATAATAGTTATCCCAGAATTCCTTATTAACTCACTCTGCATCATATGTTGGGAATATTGTGGGTGTTGTGAGGTTTGGAAGCCTATACAGCCTTAAATGTTAGAGTTGGGGGCTTTAGATATGTCGAAATTCAGTGCTGGTCCTTACCTCTGTTCTCTAACCTGGTTTACAAAACACTGGGAAAGTGAAAGCGGTTCATGCTTTGAAGTTTTTCAGTCTGCTGAGAGAGACAAGTAAACACATCTCTTCAGTGTGGTAAATGATTTGATGAAAGTGAGTCCTGGGAACACATGCTTGGCCTGTGAGCTCAGGGAAATTCTGGACAGAATTGGGAGACATTTTGGAGTTTTTGATTTGGCAAGAGGAAAGGTGTTTTAGGTAAAGGAATTTTTTTTTTCAAAGGCACAGAAACGAGAGCATGCTTGGAGTAGAGAATTATAAGTGACTTTGGTATTACAACCCAAACTGATTGTCTCTCCATGTTGTTACGGTAAAACTTTAGGTGGGGAGTGACTATGAAAGGGGTAGGTTGGGGTCTGGTGATAAAGACCTTATATATCATACTAGGGGTTCTAGGATCTCTCTGATAGCTAGGAGCCACTAAAAGATTTTAAGCAAGGGAAAGGCATAGTCGGATTTTCTTTTTCACAATGTAGAATGTGACCTTAGAGGGTGAGACAATGTAATTAGGTGGCTGGAGGTAGATAATGAAAGCCGGAACTGAGGTAGTGATGTTAGGTATGAAGCAGGCAGGACAGGTTAGAGAAATACTTAAATGCCAAAATTAGCAGAACTTGGCCATGGTTGGATGTGGGGTAAGAGATGATGGCCCCTAGGATAACTGCTAATCCACTGGCATGGGTAACAAAGTAGTCTCTAACTTAAACTAGAATAACAGGTTTGGGAGTAGGTATGGGAAAGGAAGAATTCAGCGTGTACCACCTGAGTTTAAAGTCTTTCTGGCAGGCAGGTAAGTACATAAGATTGATGTAAAGTTTTGAGGTCTCAGTATTCGTGGTAAAACCATGAAAGAGATAAGATCAAAGAAGAGGTGTGAAGAGCTGAGGGCATCAATAGCCCAACACTAGGGGACTGCAGTATTTGAGAGTAGATCAAGGAAAAAGATCAGATTATGTTTTACACTAAGTTTTTAAAAACTTAGTGTTTACTTTTTTACTTTTGTGCTTTAGTCAAAGAAGAAAGGATTGAGTGCAGAAGAAAAGAGAACCCGCATGATGGAAATATTTTTTGAGACAGTAAGTTGTTTTCATTAAAATTTGTAGTATTTTATGTAATTTTCACATTAAGTTTATTTTCACAGTATATTGTGTATTTTTACATTAATTAATTCACTGTTAGCCACTGCTGCTTTGTTAGAGATCCATACTGTCCAATTTCTTGAAAGATGGATAAAATTTTGCAAACATTTGTCTTCCCATGAACTACAGAGTATGGAAGAATCATGTCCCACTGTTGGTAGAGTCTCATTCACCAGAATTATCTTTCTGATACATATATTTGATTGTGTGTTCTTTCTGCCTGAAAGTAATTCATGTTTACTTAGTGATACTGAGGTGCCAATCACTGTTCCAAGCATTTATCAGAGATTATCTGATTTCTCCATATATCAACCCTATGAGGTATTGCTATCATCACTGTTTTACAGATGAGGACTTTTGAGATGCAGAGTGTCTATAAGAAGCCTATCCTGGATCCCAAAAATAGAAGTGACAATACCAGTATTCAAACAAAGGAGATCATCTGATTTTAGAAGGAGTGCCTCTTTGTATTTATTTATCAATCTATCATATGTATTATATGATGCATATATGATCGTTCACAGTCCTCTCTAATTTGCTCCAGATGTTTATGCTTGCCATTAACAGGAAATATGTTTAAAATTTCAACTTTTAAGTAGCAGAGACAGAATTCAAACCCAGCCACCTGGCTCTAGAGCCTGTTCTTATTCTCTTCACCATGTTGCTGTACAGTGGCCTTTCTTTGCCTCCAGGTTCAAGTCCAAATAGGCCTTTTACCTTAATCTACATTAACTTCATGTGGCTTGGCAGAAACTTTAACCTACTGACCCCAACTACTGGCTATTTTCATCATATACAGACATGAAGAAGATGGGGGAAAGTGTTCAAGCAGAATATTAAATTGATAAAATTCCTTTTCATTTTGATAATGTAGATTCTCAATAAAATGAGCAAAATATTCTGGGAATTTAAAAAGCATGTATTTCTTCTGTGAGTGTAACTTTTACTGTTTCTAAAAGTCATTTGCAATTCAGAATAGTATATCATATTAATAATGATGATATCATTAAGAAGATAAATTGATAAAGTTTGCATATGAAAATTATGACAATTATTTTGCTGAGATGAAATATTTTTCCTATAGTCTTAGAGCAAGAAAAATCGATTTAATTCCTACCAGACAGTGGAAAGCTGGGGAAAGTAGTCAGTGAAATTATTTTGTCCTTTGTAGTATTGTTAATTATCCCATATATAAAAATTGGCTATTTCTGATTGAGAAATGTTTAACTTTCCCCCTCAATAACATTAAGATACTAAAGACTGATACTAATGAATATTAGCAGCTTAAAGAAGTTTAGTTATCAGTGAGGTTTTGGGGAAAACTAGGAATTAATTCTGTTCATTGGTTTCATTTCATACATGCCTGTTCCTTTTCCACCTTACATCCTAGTTATTTGCTGCTCATTTATGTAGTTCATCAGTTTTTAACAGAATTAAAAAGTATAACAGACTTGAGAAAAGTAATGGAGACCATTTCATTTATTGTCTCATGAACAGGATATGATATATCCAGGATCCAGATTGATGTCAAATGTTGACAAATATTAGTTACAAACCCTTCATCAATTTGAAACAAAGCAACAATATGGTACACAGGGAAAAGCATGGATTCTAGAATTCAGATTCTGGAATCTTTATTCCAGTTCCATTGTTGGAATTGGCAAGTGAAAATTCCAACAAAATCAAATATGGCTGCACTAGCTTTAGTTACAGAATATGACTTTAGATGTGAATAGTAACCTCATTTTAGACTGATGTCAAGGAGAACTGCTCATGATGTAGAAAGTAAAAAAAAAAAAGTATATAAAAATATTGCAATATGATCACAGATATTAACAGTGGTAAGATGATAGGTGGATTTTGTTTTAAGTCTCTTCTCATTTACTTATAGCGAACATATATCACCTTTTGAATAAAATTAGAAAACCAATCAACAAAGCACCACATACTTTGGTGCCTCTAATCATAAGTGGTTCATTTGCAAAGGTTTAGAAATCTTTTTAAAACACAGTCTTCAGTAATCCTGACAGTTCATGAAGGGATAAGAACCTTCTTATCCCTTCATGAACCATTTTGTATGTTGAGGTACAAATAGGCTTCCAATAAACTTTTGTTGAATTTTTCTTAAAATTATCTCAGCAAAGACTTAAATGAATAGCTCTCCATTGGCACACTTATACCCAGAGAATTTTACATAAATCTATAAATAGAATGAGACAGACATATCATATATATATATATACATACACACACACATATATATATGGATCTGTTGCATATTTGAAGCTTCCAATGTAATAAAAAAATTCTTTGCCTGTTGCACTTAGGAAGAACATGGGCACAGGATAGCTGTGATTTTGAACTTGAACTTGGAATCTGTTTTACTTAATATTGGTATAACATTAAGAAAGTTCCTTGACTTCTCTGTTTCTCAGGTTCTTCATCTGTTAAAGAGAACAGATGCACCAACCTCACAGTGTTGGTATGAGAATTAAATGAAATAATTTATGTAAAACATTACAAACTCTGAGTCATAAATAATTAATCTAGTGTTAAACCATATTTATTCCATGGAATCTTACATGTAGTTTTTTTGGAGGGAAGGGGAACTAACTAGATCTATTATGTTCATTTCCTTTATCATCTGTGCTTAATGCTAGGGAGACTAAGAACTAAGATTCACTTGAGATTATTTGTTCAGTCCATTTGGGTTGTGAGACTCTTTGTATAAGCCCGTTTATTTACCCAACAGTCTCATAAGGTTGGCCAGTGTGTCTGGGGCTCTCTGGTGACCACATATAAGCAGATCTCTCAATGAATTCATGTTCTTTTTCCAGGCACTATGAAGTATTTGCAAAGAGATCGAAAGGATTTGTCTAGTGCATTAGAAACCTATAACCAATAATTTATTATATGTTCTCTAAGATTCTAAATTGTCACCTTTAATTCCCAATTCTAAATTGTCACCTTTAATTCTCAATTGTGCAAAATGGATTGATCTTATACTCTAATGAGTTAGTATTCTCTTTTCACTAAATCTTAGGTGTAATGAGATGAAATTTTTTCAAACATTTTATTTAAAAAAGTTCAAACATATAACAAAAACAAAAGAATTTTACAGTGAATACACATATTTCTACTACTCAGATTCTACCATTAACATCTGACTTTACTCACTTTATCATGTATGTATTCATCTATCCACTTCTTTATTCATTCATCAATTTTTAAAATATACTTTAAAGGAATTCATATATAAATAGCCTGGGTACCAGGCCTTTACCAAATATGTGTTTTTTGAATATGTTCTTCTAGGTGGTATTTGTTTTTTCAATTTCTTAGCAGTGTCCATTGGGATGGGCAGAAGTTTTTAATTTTTTTTAAGTTTTGTTTCCATCCAATTAAAGTTGCCTTTTCAAGTTTATTTTGGAAGAAATGAATCCCAGATTTCCATAACAATAATAATAGTATTTCTGTTATAATTACTGAATACTTTAGTCTTTTGAGACAGTTTTGTTTTATTATCCAAGTTCTTTTTACCACTTAAACCAAAGCTTATTACAAGTAGAAAAAAGTAGTCAACATTTTTTATGACCATCAGATTAAATATCCTACATGCTTATTTTCCCTCTGTGTTTTACTTTGCATATGGTGGGCATGCAACGTGTATAGATGAATGATTGAGAGATGACTATGGATTGTATAATTTTCTATATTTAGGTGTAACTGCTTCATGAAACCTTAAATGTAAACAAATCTTGACAGTTGTCTGTTGTTTTGATTAGAACTGCTAAATCTGCAGAGTGTAATTTATGCTAAATAAGGCAATATTTTTTATTTGTTTTTCTAGTTCAGCAGGAAGTTGTTCTTTGTTTTGATCTCTACTTGTATTGTATGCTCAGAATTGTATGCTCAGGCTGAAGTCTATCTGTTTTAAGTTATATGGAGGGTATTGAAGGAGATAATCACAAAGTTTTTTATAGTTCTAAAATGCTTAATTCTATTGCACTCTTTGTTTTCATTCATACTTTTTAATACAATATTTTATGAATATAATTACATAAATGTATAGTAGAAAATAAATGTGTTTTTCATATTTTCTACTCCTTTTAAACAGAAAGATGTGTTTCAATTGAAAGACTTGGAGAAGATTGCTCCCAAAGAGAAAGGCATTAGTAAGTATTAAAGATATGCTGGGATACTTTGGGAAATATCAGTCATATTTTCTGCAATAATATTTCTTTTTATGAAAAACAAATTTCTAGAGATGAAGAATGTTTGTAAAAGTTCCTATGTAATGTCTGTTGGCCATCAGTTCTTGTGTTTGGATTATATGCTGTAGAAGAATTAAAATGGAATACATGTATATACTCACACATGCATATACATATACAATATACACCCTTATTTTTTAATGTAGTTAATTTCAAAAGAAATGAACATTGTTCTTATGTTCTAGTATTTGGTAAACGTGATTTTGTGTCTTTACATCATGTATTAGTTTCCTAGGGCTGCCCTAACAAATTCCTATACATATATTGGCTTAAAGCAGCAGTAATTTATTTTCTCACAGTTCTGGGGGCCAGAAGTTTGAAATTAATGGGTGGGCAGTTCTGGCTCCTTTGGGAGGCTCCAAAGGAGAATCCATTTCTTTCTTCTTTTCCTAGCTTCTAATGGTTGCTAACAGGATTCTAATCCCTGGCTCTGTCTTCACACAGCCTTATCCTTTGCATCTGTGTTTTTCTTTTCTTCTCTCTTTCATAAAAACATATGTCATATCTCCTTAACTTAATTTTTAATTACATCTACAAAGACCGTTTTCCCAAACAAGCTGATATTCACAGGTTCCAGGAGGTTAGGACTTTGAATGTATTTGGGGGCTAGGGGAACTACTACGTCCACTACACATGACATGTTTCTTTTTAAGCCTTTCTGATTATGTAAACTATGCGTATGTAAACTATGCATGTTAGTTTATTTTAACAAATTTGGAACTATAAAAACTATAAGGAAGAAGGTGAAATTTTTTCATAATCCTATTCTGAGGTCACCACTGTTAACATTTGGAAGTTTCTCTGTGTGTGTGTATATTTTTGTCCATCTCTCTGATAGGGAACCATGCTGTGTATGCAGTTTTGTGTTTGTGGGTTTTTTGGGGAGTTGGTATTTGAACCTCAGGCCTCATGCTTGCTAGGCAAGTGCTCTACCACTGAGCTAAACCCTCAGCTATGTATTTTTATATAACATTTTATCATCTACATTTACATCACTTGTTTTAAAAATGATTTTTGACAACTCCATCTCCTAAAATTTCATTTTGTGATCATCCACAATACCATAACTTGGCTTAGATGGTCACTTATTGAACATTTAAATTGTTTCCAAATATTGCTGCTAGAAATAATATGTCATTAACATACAATATGCTCTGGACTGAATTATTTTCCCCCATTTTTTGTTCGTCTGTTTGATACTGGGGATTAAACTCAGGGGCATTTGACCATTGAGCCAATTCCCCAGCCCTTTTTTTGTATTTTATTTAGAGACAGGGTCTCACTGAGTTGCTTGGCACATACAATAGAAAATAGATATCTGTGTCCTTTTTTAGCCTTTTTAATATGTAATCTCACACTGCCTTCAGGGAAGGTAATTTAGTCAAATTTTCCACTGCTGTGTCTAAAACACCTAATAAGAACAATTGGAGGAAGAGAAGTTTATTTGGGGGCTCATAGCATCAAAGGTCTTAGTTCATAGATGACTGACTCCTTTTCTCCAGGCCTGAGATGAAGCAGAACATCATTGTGAAAGTGTGTGGTAGAGGAAAGCAGCTGGGCACATGCACCAAGAAGCAGAGAGAGAGAGATCTCTGTTCAACCAGAACAAAATATATACCCAAAGGCACATCCCCAAGGACTCACGTCCTCTAGCCACACCCTACCTGCCTACAGTTACCACACAGTTAATCCCTGTCAGGGATTAATATGCACTGATTAGGTTAATGCTCTCATAATCCAATCATTTCACCTCTAAACTTTCTTGAATTGTCTCACACATGGGTGTGAGTTCTTTTTTATATATACATTTGTTTTATTTATTTTCATGTGGTGCTGAGGTTCTAATCCAGTGCCTCATACATTACTACAACTGAGCCACAATCCCAGCCCACACAAGAGCTTTTGAAGAATACCTAATATCTAAAGCATTACAGAAGCGTATATCAATTTATGTTCCCACTAATTTTTTTATTTTTTGCAATGCTGTACCCAGGGCCCTGTACCTGCTAAGCAAGCACTGTATACTGAACCTCACTCTCAACTCTCATTTCTTGAAACAGTTTTCATTTTTTGAATTCTTGGACATTTCAGTTTGTACTGCTTTAAAAATGGGGTTGAGGTTGCATGTTTTGTACATTTGGTATTGAGTTTATTTATTTATTAAATCTTTAAATTTGGGGTTTGTTTTTTAGGATCTCCCCCACTTTCTGTGCTGGTAGTAGTGATGGAACCCAGGGGTACTCTACCACTGAGCTACTTCCCCAGCACTTTTTATATTTTATTTTGAGACAGAGTCTGGCTAAGTTACTGAGACTGGCCACTAACATGCAATTTTTCTTCCTCAGCCTCACAAGTAGTTGGTATGCCACTGACCTAGCAAATCTTTAAATTTTTAAATAATTTTTATTATACTGGGGAATCTAAGAAAAATTAAAATGAGAACTAAAATATAGATAAATTTCTTGGTACAACAAAGTAAGAATTATTGCCTGGTGAGGTGACACACACCTGTAATCCTTGCTACTTGGGAGGCTAAGAAGAAGGGTAGCAAGTTTGCAAGTATAAGGATGGCCTAGGCAACTTCTTGAGACTCTGTCTCAAAAAAATAAAAAGGGCTAGGAATGTAGCTCAGAGGTAGAGTACTTGCCTGGCAATATGCAAGGCCCTGGGTTCAATCCCTACCACCTCAAAAAAACCAACACGTAAGGATTATTAATGGATTTCAGACACTTGTGATATTTGACTTTGTATCTTTACGTGGTATTTTTAAAACTTTTTCTGATCTTTAATCTTAACCTTAACTATAGCACCCAAATATCCTTTATTCCTTAATTTTTCATAATAGTTTTGTTTTAGTTTTCTTAGCAAAGGGTAACACATGTTAATTGTTGGAAGGGGGAAGAAATAAGCAAAAGTAAGGAACTAAAAATCATGTGTTACCTATTATCCAAAGATAATCACTGTCAGATTAGTGCTTACGGTCCTTTATTTTTCTATGAAGACATTTTGAAAATATATTCATATCATTAAATATTCTTAAATAGGCTTTTGTAACAAATGATTGCATAGTAATTTTTAAAAATTCAGCTCTTGGACTGTTTTTTAAAATTTTTGCTATTGAAAACAATGCTTCCATAAAGCTCCTTAAGCATACATCATTATTCTCTGTGGCTAATTTATAAAAAGCAAAATTTCTCCATAAAAGATATGCATAAAGCTGAAGTTTTAAATACATACTACCATATTTCTTCACCATGTTGAGAGTATCCGTTTCCTTAAATCCTTTATTTTTTGACATTTTTCATTTGTTAGTCAAGAAAGTATATATCAGTGCTTTATTTTGCATCTCTTCAAGTAGGGATGGGGTCAAGCCAGGAACAGTGGTGCACGCCTGTAATCCCAACAGCTGAGGAGGCTGAGGAGAAATATCACAAATTCAAAGCCAGCCTTAGCAACTTAGTGACGCTTTAAGCAATTTGGTGAGCCCTATCTCAAAATAAAAAGGGCTGGGGATGTGGCTCAGTGGTTAACTGTCCCTGAATTCAATCCCCAGTACCAATAAAAAAGAGAATGGGGTTGGATATTTTTTACATATGTTGGCCATGAATATTTTATATATTCCTATCAATATACTGTTTTTTGATCTTTGTGTTATTTTTAAGAGATTTTTATTAACTATTATCTTTATGTTTAATATTTTTCAGATTTTTTTATTTTTTCAGATTTTTCAGTTATTTGTTTTTAATTTTATTAATAGTATTTCTTAATATAGTCTTTGAAAAAATCTCTTTCTTAGCTGCTATGTCAGTAAAAGAAGTCCTTCAAAGCTTAGTTGATGATGGTATGGTTGACTGTGAGAGGATCGGAACTTCTAATTACTATTGGGCTTTTCCAAGTAAAGCTCTTCATGCAAGAAAACGTAAGTTGGAGATTCTGGAATCTCAGGTAAGCTGCCAGAATTAAAAATAATGGATTTGAAGCTAATTTTAACTCTGTGCCTATTATACGCAAGGCCTTGGGTTCAGTCTTCAGCAGTGAAAAATAAATAATAGATTTGCTTTGTAACACAGAGATTTGTCTTAATCCTTTTTCATTAAGTGGTTTCCTTTAAATTTTTAGAATCCATTGTTTGGCTTAATGTATAAAGATAATCAACTTCTCTATTTTACTCCTGAACCATAGGGCTGGTAACCAGGCCTGGTGGTGCTCACCTGTAATCCCAGCTACTTAGGAGGCTGAGGCAAAATGATCACAAGTTTGAAACCGGCCTTAGCAACTGAGCAAGACTCCGTCTCAAAAAATAAAAAAAAAACTGGTGATGTAGCATAGTGGTAGAGTACCCTGGGTCCAATCTCTGGTACCACAGAAAGTAAGCAAGCAAACAAAAAATCGCAATAAGGTCAGCAGTAGAGCACTTGCCTATCATATATGAGGTCCTGAGGTCCTCGATTCAGTCCCCAGGACTGAAAAACAAATAAAACACAATGCAATGACCTTAGAATGTTTTAACTTTCATTTTCCCACATCATGATATTATTTTCTATTATTTTAGTACACAAATAGTTTTTAATATGTTCATAGGTATATATACAATCACCACTACAGTGTTCATCACTTCAAAAAGAAATCCTGGGGCTGGGGTTTAGGCTCAGTGGTAGAGCGCTCACCTAGCATGCGCGAGGCCTTGGGTTTGATCCTCAGCACCACATAAAAATAAATGAAATAAAGGCATTGTGTCCAACTACAACTAAAAAATAAATATTAAAAAAAAAAAAAAAGAAAGAAATCCTGGACCTTTAGCTTCAGCCTACCTCTCGCACTCAACCATAAGCAACCATTAATCTACCTTCTGTCTGTGTAAATTCCTTTCTCTGGACATTTTATATAAATGGAATCATAATGTATAGTCATTCGTAACTGACTTCTTTCTCTAAGATTCATTCATGGTGTAATATGTATCAGTACTCCATTTTTGTTTGTTTGTTTTGTGGTGCTGGGGATTGAACCCAGGGCCTTGTGTATGCAAGGCAAGCACTCTACCAACTGAGCTATATCCCCAGTCCTCAGTACTCCATTTTTATGGCCAAATAGCACTTCATTATATGGAGATAACCACATTTTGCATTCAAGTCTATTGGTGGACATCTGGGTTGTTTCTACTTTTTGGCTATTCTTAATGATGATACAGCAGTAGCATTGCTAGATCATATGGTAACTCTGTTTAACTGCCAGACTGTTTTCTAAAGCAGCTGTACCATTTTATAGTCCCACCATCAGTGTATGAAGGTTCCAGTTTATCAGTATCCTCCCTTCCAAAATTTATTACCTGACTTTTTCATTCTGACTTCTATTGGGTATGAAGTAGTATCTCATTGTGGGTTTGTTTTTCATTTCCCTGATAATTAAGGATGTTGGACATCTTTTCATGTGCCTCTTGGCCATTTCTGTGTTCTCCTTGGAGAAATATTTGTTATTTATTCATATCCTTGGCTCATATTTTAACCTTTTTTTTTTGGTACTGGGATTGAACCCAGGGGCACTCAACCACTGAGCCACATCCCCAGCCCTATTTTGTATTTTATTTAGAGATAGGGTCTTAGTGAGTTGCTGAGTGCCTCAGCCTCTTGAGCTGCTGGGATTATAGCTGTGAGCCACTACACCCAGCTATCTTAACTCTTAAACATGATGAAATGTGATGTGGCACTTTTCTGTCCTACTAGGGAATAACATGCCTATTTATCAGTCAGCAATTTTTAAAAGTTATACAATTAGAAACTTTATACAGAGTATTAATCAGCTTCCATTACTGTATGACATATCTGAGGTAACTAACTTAGAAAAGGTTCGTTTTGGCTCATTGTTTAAGAGGTTCCAGTCAATGAGCAATTGGCCCATTGCTTTGGGCCTGTAGTAAAGAACACATCATGGCAAGAGCAGAGAGTGGAGTAAAACTTCTTATATCACAGGTAGGAGAGCAAAGAGAAAGAGAAGGACAGATCCCACAGTCCCCTTTGAGGGCATGCCTTCAGTGTCCTAACTTCTTTTCACTAGGCCCCACCTCTTAAAGGTTCTACCACCTCCTAATAAAGCCACCCTGGGGACCAAGCTTTTAACACAAGGGCTTTAGAGGACATTCAAAATCCAAACTATAACACAGGATAATTTACTTTTAAGTCTTTTCAAGTTCCCATAACTTACATGTTCTGTCCTTCTCTAAATCCAGCATATTGTTTAGGGCTGGCTCCCTGTTTTCATAAACATTGTTCTCTTCCTTACTAACAAAGCACCTTTTTGTTGTTGTTTTTTATTGTACTGGGGATTGAACTGAGGGGTACTCTACTACTGAGTTATATCCCCAGCCCTTGTTATTTTGAGACAGGATCTTACTGAGTTGCCCAAGTAGGGTGGAACTTGGTGATCCTCCTGCCTCAACTTGTATAGTAGCAGGGATTATAGTCATGCACCACAGCTCCCAGCTCAAAGCACTTGTTGAGGAAGCCGTGTCCAAAAGATGTTCATCTTCCTAGATTCCCTTGTAGCTAAGTTTTGATAAATGAAATTTAAGTGGAAGAATAGATTTGAATTTCCTGGGAAACTTTCCTTTATCCTTATAAAGGCCAAGCTTCTTCCTTTTTTTTCTGTGATATGGTCATATTACAACCCAGAGTAACAAGCATAAGGCTGAAGACAATTCCCAAGGAATGGTATAGCCTAGATGAAAAGATCTGGGTTCTCTGTGGCACTTTGAAATACTGTATTAGACTTGGACTGCCTTACCTCTGTACTTACTACTTGAGCAAATTAAGTCTTCGTTTAATACAGTCTTGGATAAGTATTCTCTTATTTGTGGCTGTATTCTAAATGAATAGTTGCTTTGTAGACTTTCTTATAAATATGATTTAGATATTATATTAGTTATCTGTTGCTGTGTAAAAAAAAAAAAAGAAAGAAAGAAAAACTGCATACCCCAGAGTGACTTCAAGAAACAAACATTGATGTTGTACCTTTTCTGTATATCTGAAATCCTGGCAAGATTTAGCTGGGTACCTCTGGCTGAAGGTCTTGCCTGAGGCTGTACTGTTGGCTAGGACTGCATTCTCATCTGGGAGAGAATATACTTCTAAGTTAAGTCCTGCTGTTACTGCATTTAGTTCTTGCAGGCTTTTGGACTCAGAGTCTCAATTACAGATAGCTTTTGGCCAGAGCCCCCTCTCAGTTGCCTACCACGTTGGTTTTTCAGTAGGACAGCTAACAACATGGCAGCTGGCTTCCCTTAGAGCCAGTGCATGTGAGAGAGTCCAAGACAGAAGAAACAACAGATTTTTTTGTATTTTTTTTTTAATTGTAGATGGACACAATACCGTTATTTTACTTATTTATTTTTATATGGTGCTGAGAATCAAACCCAGTGCTGCTTCACATGTGCTAGGCAAGTGTTCTATTACTGGTTTTTTGTATCTTAATCTTGGAAGTGACATCCCATTGTTTTTACCTCATTGTATTCCTTAGAAATAAGTCATTAAATTTAGCTCCTACTTGAGAGATTATATATGGGCACAAATACCAGGAAGCAAGGATCATTTGGGTCATAGCATACTTACCACAGATTTTTAAATTCTTAATTTTTTACATGTATATGTCTCATCTTCTCAATTTTTTTTTATTTTAAAAAATGCTTTATTGAGGAATAACTGGCATATAAAAACTGTTCATATTTAACATAATTTGATAAGCTTTGACATACATGTAAGTACATAAAACCATCACAATCAAAAAAATTGAACATAATCATAACATCTGAAAGTTTTTCATTCCCTTTGTATCTTAATTTTTTTTTTTTAGTTGTAGATGGACACAATACCTTTATTTTGTTTTATTTTTTAAAATATCTTTTAAAAAAAAAAAACATTTATTTTTTAGGTGTAGATGGACACAACACAATGCCTTTATTTTTATGTGGTGCTGAGGATCGAACCCGGATCCCACCCGTGCTAGGGGAGCACTCTAATGCTGAGCCACAATCCCAGCCCCCCTTTATTTTATTTGTTTATTTTTTTTGTGGTGCCAGGGATCAAACCCAGTGCCTCATACATGCTAGGCAAGCACTCTACCACTGAGCCACAGCCCCGGCCCTTTTCATGACTTTTAAGCAGTTGTCCCTTGGTGTTGACAGGAAATTGTTTTAGTAACACAAGGCTACAAAAATCTGCTGAGGGCTGGGGATGTGTGCTCGCCTGGCACGCATGGGGCGCTGGGTTAGATCCTCAGCACCACATAAAAATGAAATAAAGATGTTGTGTCCACTGAAAACTAAAAAGTAAATATTAAAAAAAAAATCTGATACTTAAGTCTCTTTTATAAAATGGTATAGTATCTTCATATGACTATACACATTCTTTTGTACACTTTGTCACGTCTAGGTTATTTACAATACCTAATGCAATGTAAATGTTGTTATACATAATGTTGGGACATAAATAGTTGTTATATTCTATTGTTTAGAGAACAGTGAGTAGGATTTTTAAATTCATACATGCCAGATGTTGTGGCACATACCTGTAATCCCGGCTGCTTGAGGCCTGAGACAAGAAGATCACAAATTTGAGACCAACCTGGGCAACGTAGCAAGATCCTATCTCAAAATTTAAAAAGGGTTTGGAATATAGCTGAGGGATAGAGTGCTTATCTAGCAAGTATGAGGCCCTGGATTCAACCCCTACTGCTGCAATCAAAAAAAAAAAAGTCTGTCATATTCAGTACTGGTGCACATTTTTTCCCTGAATTTTTCAATCCGTGGTTGACTGAATCAATGTTGGTAGAACCCACATGTACAACTGTATATGAACTCTTTCTTTTGATTAAGATTAATGTGTGGGCTGGGATTATGGCTCAGTGGCAGAGTGCTTGCCTCACACATATAAGACAGTTCAATCCTCAGCACCACA